AAGCAAGCCGATTCCAGTTAAGGTAAGGATTAGGGTTAGGGTTAGGGTTAGGTTAAGGGTTAGGGTTAGGGTTAGGGTTAGGGTTAGGTTAAGGGTTAGGGTTAGGTTAAGGTTAAGGTTAGGGTTAGGTTAAGGGTTAGGTTTAGGGTTAGGGTTAGGTTAAGGGTTAGGGTTAGGTTTAGCGTTAGGTTAAGGGTTAGGTTTAGGGTTAGGTTTAGGGGGGTTAGGTTTAGGGGTTAATTTTAGCTTTATCGTTCACAGCATGCTTTTTTCGTCGCACTGTGATGATGTCAGGTATGCGGTTTCGTCGAGCGCGCTTTAGTCGAACGCGGTTTTGTGGTGGAACCGTAGCTATCAGCCATTTAAGCAAGAAAACAGCATTTTACCTGTGGCTCTTGACTTGCCCAAAACAGTACAAACACATTTTATGAGGAGCTTAGGCAAAAAAAATAATTCTGGACACCTTCATCCCCCGATAGATACCTTCTCTTTCCTACATTCCTTTCAGTGTCCAATCGCTTTCATTTTTTTTTTCTCTTCTCATTTTGATTCAAAGTGTAAGATTCCAATGTAGTCAGTGGCAAAATCTACAGATCGCTTTCTCTCTAGGCAGGCAGGCTGGCTTTTTTTTCCCCTCTTTTTTTTTTTCACTGTCTGCCGCCATTGGATTGCTAGTCATTAACCTTCCATTTCTGTGGCTTAGTAATGGCAGGTTTCTCAAGCTCTGAACTAATTTTCTTTGGGTACTGCACAAGCTGCCAAGGTGGGAGTGGAGAGAAGAAGTAAAGAGTATGTGGAAAATCCTACCACAGCTGGTTATGTGAGTGCTTGTTTTTTCCTGTGCGGTGGCTAATAACTGCCCAATGATGTTATGATATACCAAGGTGAGGGAGGGGGGAGCAGAGGCGCAGCATTTTACACATACAAGTTGCATTCCCCTTGTCTATTCAGAACTGTATGTGAACATAAAACTAGGTTTGCAGACATAGAGGTCACGCAGTTGCTAGCAGCAGGCTCTTGCATCCATGGATAAGGGGACTGTTGCCTTGCATGTGTGAATTGGCCCTACAGGTATCGCCATTATTAGGGAAATGAAGTGTGCAACAATGGGCCTTTATGGTGCAATTTACATTACAAACTGCCCTGGAACAAATATTTTGAAAGCTGTTAGTTGAATAAGTAACTAGGTCTGTGTTCCCAGCATAACTGTTCTCAAAAGAGAGGTATGATATCCTTGCAGGAAGCGGTTTTTAAACACAGCGTTAAACCTTGACTGTATAGCATAATATTATCAGTCTTTCCACCATGCCTGTAAAGCCAGTTTATAAATGGGGAGTGACCATGTCGTTACTATTAGTTTAAGATTGTAACTGAAGATAAATTGTAAATTGCTGTATTTCTGTCCTAAAAGAATAATATAGTTTGCTGAATAGTTTTGCTGAAAATCCATAATTCTATACAAAATCATTTGAGCAAATAGATGAGCCAAAACTGATCTTTAATGTGGCTACTCCAAATCTTGTGCATAATTGACCCCCATCATTTTAAACTTCCATTTTTGTAATGGTTAAACTAATACTTTAAAGAGATGTAATAATAATCTTACTCTTTATTTCAATACTTTAGCAATATTCTTTAACTGTCTATTTTTTAAATACCTGCAGATTTAGGATTGTCTAATGTAGCACTTCTGAGCCGATAATAGTCTGCAAGGCTTCTAATGTGTTTGGGTCACATGGTGAAATCAGGACAAGTTTTAACAGAATATACTGCTATTCCACATTTCAGTTGCAATTCCTCTTGCGATAACTCAAATGGTTTAACAGCTTGAATGGCATTTAGTTGTTCAGAAGTATTAATACCTCTATTAGCCCATAATTAAAGCAGCCTTTAATGCTGGAAATAGAACTGTGGCTAAAAGCGGAGCAGAGCCTCTCCCACAATATCAAGTGGGATCACATAATCCTCCCTGAAGCTCTTATATGATAAAATAAATAAATAAATAAAACCAAACAAGGAGGCTGTTTTAGTAACATAGCCATCAACCTGAAATACCTGAATTGATTTTTGTCCTTTCTTATAACTTCATGGATTACATTTAGCCATGGCTGTTCTGCAAACAAGACTAACTTCAGAAATGATTTGTATACAGAAGTCCATGTTCTGAAATATTCTCAGCTGAGCTAGAAGAAACATTATGACCTGCCCTGAACAGCCATGAAAAGTTGTAATTCACAAAACTAGGCTAAATAGGACTATGCTCATCTAACTTAGTTTAAGGCTAGAATATATTTATGTTTCCTGATGTTTTTAGTCTGTGATCTGGTCACCAATATAGCTGAAGGGAGCCTTCAAAAGTGACTTATGTTTCAATATACACTTAGAATATTCATCTCTTCAAATTAATCTGTTGTGTATATATTAAAAAACCTGGGAGATTTGAAAATTATCTTTACCAAGTGAGCAAACCAGGAGTTCATAACTGTATTTTTCACTGTTGTTCCAAAATTCATCAAAACAAATTATTATTTTTTTAAAAAATAACACTTAAACATTGCTAAAGCAGATTTGTTCTTTAAACCTGTCTTGCTTTCTTGTCCTTAGCCCTGCTGACACCTTATTTATATCTTGGCATCACTACCATCTTTTTCCCTTTTATTTTTTTCTTCCCTCCCACCTTTTTTTCTGAATGTATTAGGCACCTTTCTGTGTCCAGAAAAAAATTCATGTTATAGCCCAGACCTGCTAGCAAGCAAGTCTTATGGCAGTGTCAGATAACTGAAGTCACAAGGCTAGACTACAAAGTGAAATACCACAGATCTATAAACAATGTTCCACACTAATGTGAAATTTTCAGGTTTGTGGGTATACCCCACAGCAGTTGAGGGCTTTCTTTCAGAACTAAAATGAGTTTCCTTCAAAGAGATCGTGGAGAAATCTTGCCAGATTATCTCTACTTTCATTTTTCCAATTTAGCCCTTTACATGTCCACGCAGACACTATGAATTCATTAGGCTTACTCACAGTTAAGTGTGCATGTAATGACAGCTTAAAGTAGCTTGAAAACTGGCATCTAAAAAGATGGATAAATATCATAACTGGCTTTAAAAAGTTAACTTGGGAAGGTGAGCAACCATTGCTTTAAAGTTGCTTAGACCTGTTCGTCTGGAAATTTTTGGCACGGATTTTCCAAGTCCAAATGGGTTTTGTTGCAACACCTCTACTGTATATGGCCCGAAGGCTTTATAAATGCTATGCAAAGGCTATCGGGTTGTTGGATGAATGATCAGAATAAAGCACAAGACATTGTAAGTGGGAGCTGCGCTCTTCTTGTTTGGAAAAGCTGTTCCAGCCTCGTGCTGCCGTCCTAATTGTTGATCATCAGTTGGTGTTGGATTTTATATTCCGCTCTAGATTTAGAGTTGTTTTTTTCATAAACCATGTGTTTTCTAGCAGCACTTTCCTGATTCATAATGTTCACTTTATAATTGTTTGATTTAATGGATAGAATGTTGTCAGCAAAGCTGGTACAACTGGGCAATGAGGCACTCTGTGTTAGGAATAAGGAGTTTATCGGAGTGTATGTGTATAGTATATTTAGAAATGCCAACCAGGAGAGCAACAGCAAAGGATGAAATATCTCCAAATTTCTATGAAAATGTATGTTTCCTCGTAGGTGACACTTCAACGCAGGCTGGTGCTTCAAGACTTGACAATATTGTTACCTTAACTTCCACATCTTTCACTTTTGGGGGCTTCTTGGGTGAATTAACACTATCATTGAAGTCCTCCCAAGGTGGCTGCTTCATTCTTACTGATTTTTCCTCTTTCAGGTGCAGATAGCATTATTGAAAAGGCATCACATTCCGGGATGATCAATCCAAGCCGTCAGTGGCAGGTCTTGAAGCAAAATTCTGGCGTAGCTCATTTTGAATACCAGATCCGGGTCACCTGCGATGAACACTACTATGGTTTTGGATGCAACAAACTTTGTCGACCAAGAGATGACTTCTTTGGACACTATACTTGTGATCAGAATGGCAATAAAACCTGCTTGGAAGGCTGGATGGGACCAGACTGCAACAAAGGTTTGTAATACCCATGTTCTGTTTTTTTTGTATATCCTCCACTCCCAAATTCTAGAGGCCAAAAAAAGAGGCTATCTTTTTAGGCCAACTAATTATCTGCTCAAAAAAATTGGTTTTGCCATAACTCGGGGCAAAATTAGAATAGTTTTAATTTAAAATATTTTAGGCTGACCTTTTTGAATCCAAAATTTAGATGGCTTACAGGATTAGAACAAATTAACAGTCAGCAAAGTCAAGAAATAATATTATAATATTATAATAAAAGGGACATTAGACCCATTAATGTAAAGGGCAGCTACATCAAATCATCTATAGGAGTGGCTATGTTTTGGTTGATACCAAATTATCTAAGGTGATTAAAATACAAGGACAACAAAAGGTCTGAAAGAATATCCCTAAAATAGAGGAATAGGCAATTAAATGACCAATGTAGTGTACATCAAAAAAAAAGTTCTAATATGTGTGCTAATGGAGTCAGATTCAGTAATGACTGAATAGGCAGAACTATACAGATGTGGTCAAGAGGTTTCTAGGAAACATCCAGGGTTTATTTTTTTTTTGGTTGCTTTGAATAAAGGCAAATCCCATGCTGGGAAACATGGAGGAATAAACAGATGCTGTAATTAAGTTAGCAGAACTGTAACGACTTTAGGGGGAGGTTACCTTTGAATGTTGTATGCAGTTTAGTTTAACTCGGGATATTTACAGCTGGAAAAGAGTAACCATAATGAATAAAGGAAACTGGTCTAGTAGGAAAGGTAAAATATTTGGGGGTTCTTTTGCTCAGAAAAAGGCAAGCAAAAGAGGCACCAGTATATAAAATTATGTAGGATGTAGAGAAAATAAATGGAGAAATTGTCTTCCTCTGTTATAATCCGAGAAATTAAGGTTAGCTGACAAAATTGAATGGTGAACAAATCAAAACAGATAAAAGAATGTACTACAGGATCCAATCTGGGTCGGAAGAGGGCTCCAGCACAAGTCCGAAAGCTCAGAAGACAAAACCTCAGGTTCCAGTGACCGACCCAGATGTGGTCCTACAACATTATCCTCGGACATGTATATTCTGCCTTCATTGTAAAAAAGAAGCCCTGCTTCATACGAGATGCAGATAAGCAGAACAAGTTGCTTCTGCAAGCTGTAATGATGATACCAGTTTAACTTGTTTGAAAAGCGGATTAGATCAGTGAATGAAATGTACTTGCCCACAATGCAGTTGGCAAAATGCAGATATCACATGAATCAAACTCTTTCCCCTACTGATACATCCAACCTTGAACAGTTACATTCCCTACCAATGAAGGTTCTAAAAGGATTTAAACAGCGTAAAGACTATATTACAGCAATCCAACTTGGACACCACTAGCGCGTGAATAGCTGACTTTCTCCAGGGAGAGCTGCAGCTGGCAAAACAAAACAAAACTCCTCAACATTGCTGCTTAAGCTTTCTCAGCTAGTGATACATCCAGGAGACCTCCCAAGCTGTGTTTGTATTTAGTTTAATAATGCATGATTATTTTGCGAGTTGTGACTTCCATCCAGTACCTCATATGACTTGGTCTAACGTGGCCGCTTGGAGGTAGTACTATGCGTGCAGATCTTCACTTAATATAGGCCGTTAGGCCACTCTCCCTGCCCACCTGAGCTCTGTATGTGTGAGTGAGTGAATGAGAAAGAGTGATTGTGATTTTTTGGAATACGTTTTTTAAAATTATATACGTATTAAGCTGCAAAACAAAACTCATGCTTCTTTATAGCCAAGAATGCATGAGGCCTAATAGGCCTCATTTTTTAAAAAAAGAAATTAAAAATGGCAGTTTTCCTCCCTTCCTGGAAGAAGGATAGTAGTAAATGGGGGGGGAGGGGGATTATTTCTGTTAAAGAGAGGCTTCAATGGGTATCAAGTAGGATAATAATAAGGGGTTATATCCTCTATGTCAGCTATATTGTGAATGGATGAGCCCCCTCCCAGTAGCCATCTTCTACCAAGCACGCACTGGATGTCCTCAACATTCTAGGCAGAGGTGACCACCAGTCCCTAAAGCAGGGGTAGTCAACCTTTTTATACCTACTGCCCACTTTTGTATCTCTGTTAGTAGTAAAATTTTCTGACCGCCCACAGTAATGGTGATTTATAAAGTAGGGAAGTAACTTTACTTTATAAAATTAACAAAGCAGAGTTACAGCAAACCCCTACTGCCCACCATGAAAGCTGGAACGCCCACTAGTGGGCGGTAGGGACCAGGTTGGCTACCACTGCCCTAAAGCCTGGGGACGCCTAAACAATACTGTTCAGCATGAAGGTATCATGGATTTTAACCAAATGTGTCCTCTGTTTAAAAAGCATCCATAAGGATCATATTTCAATTGTGGAGTGTTTAATTTTGTACAGCACAGTCCCAGCTATAAGCCGTCACATTTCCAAAACAGAGGAGCAGGTAGCAGAGCGATAGGGAAAGATTGCCACCTGAGCTCCTGCTATATGAACCAGAACGGGAGTTAATTTTGGGGTGTCTATTTAAGAATGTTTTGCCCTTTAAGACTTCCATCAGTTTGTCTCCTCCAGTTTTACTTTTTAAGACATCTTTGTGAGGAGTTTTTTGAGGTCTACACTTGTTGCAAATCGGGTAGAGTGAATTTGCAATTGGACAGGGACTCCTTTTGCGCTGAGACCTCTGATAAAAATGGCCTGCACTCCGATACCTGCAGCTGCCATTTAGGCTTGGCAAATGCCTCCAGTGGCTCCTGCTAGAAGGCCTTTGGAGACCACTATTGTTGCACACATCCAAGAAGAGTGTGGGTTGTCTGTGAATGTCTAAGATGGTGGCATGACTGTGTCTGCTTGCCTTTTTGGCCATACCCACCTCTGGCATGTACTCCCTTTTCTGAAAGTGAGATACAATTCTGCTTCATTTGAAAACGATCCCATTCTGAGTCTGGTACATCTCCCATTCCTACCCACAAACAAGCATTTAAAAAAAAAAACCAGATTCCTTTGTTTAATGCTAATAAAGCAAGTGAAAGATCCCAGGTTGCTTTTCCGTTCTGTGTTGGCTGTGGTGCTATCAGTGCACTGCCAATCACCAAACATTTCCCTGTCGGAGTGGGTGAAAGTTGCTTTTATGCAAATGATTTGCAGCTATAATATGTGGGTGCCTAAATGTATAGACTTAAGTTGAGAGACAGAAAATGCTGCAGGCCAGTAAAGTCTTTAGAACGCTCAACATTGGGCCTCGTGTAATTTTGTTAATGAAGCTTCCACCAAGCAGTTGGGACCCCTTCTTTGTAGGTTGCTAGCACGGAGCAATTCAGTTTCTTAGAAGGCTTCCTTCAAGGGGCCCGCTGCAGTGCTGACTGGGCTATTAAAAACTTTCCAGGGGATTCAAAGTGCAAGAAATGTTACATTGTCCCTTTATTTCTCCCAAATTTCCTTTCTTTTTAATTTTCTCCCATTTTTCTCTTTTCAGCAATCTGTCGCCAGGGTTGCAACCCCAGACATGGTTCTTGTAAAATACCCGGCGAGTGCAGGTAAAAGCAAAAGAATTTCTTGGCTTCAATGATTCCGAATTGTTGTAAAAGTTAAAAAAACAAAAAGCAGGAGTTATCATTAGGACAGTCTTGATGTTTAATTTTGAAGCAAATATTCTCGACCCCAGGGCTCGGGCAAAGGAAACAATGTTTTGGGGAGATGCCTTAGAAAAGCCTGTTACATGTAAACATATTTCTTTTGGGTCTGGAGCCAGGAAGTCAAATAGATTGTGAATCTCCTATACTGCACGGCAGCTAAACTCTTGACCCAACGTTAGTGCGTAATCCGTTTACTTACTTCTAGTAAGTATAATTACATGACTGGTTTTAGCTTTCGCCATCTCCTACCCTCTCCCCTCCTCCTTCCCCTCAACTTTTCCCACCAGTAGGCACAAGTTGAGCATTCTTGAGATGGGATTAATGCCTCCTCCTTAGGTCCTCTGCTCTTGGGAGCCAGACTTCAGAGTGATGAGAGGTTAATAGCTTGGATGGAATCTTGTCCGTCCGTAGATCTTCTTGATGAGGCAGAGGGCTGCTGTGGTTCTTTGATGTCTCCTTTATTTTTCTGGCAAGCAGACAAGGTTGGGGTGAATGGTGGGTAGGAAGGACAGCTTACATCTAGCCAGGCTCGGAAAGCCAAGAATCGTGATTACGATGCATCCTTGAATTGGGTTTGCATTCAGGTAAGGCTGGCAAGCATAATTGGAATAGGGACCTTTGCTTTTCAACGCTTCCTTTTCTCTCTGGAGTAATTGCTGCCTGGGTTTCAGGCGCAGGAAAGGAGGGAGCTCCTGAGACTGGCTGGCAGAGGGGCCCTCCAGAAGCTGGCTATGTAATCAGACATATTGTGGGGTTTTTGGTTTCTTCCCTAGTCTGACTTCGAGACTCGGTCACCAGAAGCCAGAAGCATTTGGGGAGGTCAGGAAAATCTCTGGCCTCAGGGAACCGCTTGAGGTTTGGAGGTTTGCAAGTCTGAATCCAAAGGATAGATTTATATTCCAAAAAGTGGTGGCAAGCACAGTGAAAAAGGGGTCAACCAGACCTCGTCCTTCCCCTTCCACTGGCAAGCATTGTGACCAATCATCCCCAGGCCTGCCCAATCACATCACACCAAGCCAACACACTCCTTCCTCTTTCTTAATCTCAAAGCCAATCAACTCCCTGCATTTCTCTCCCTGGTAACAGCACCCACCCAATTTGTGTTCTCGAGTTTTTCAGAAGAGGAGTGGGCCATTGCCAATAACTCCATAAGCACCTCGTCTCTCTGTAGAAAGCAGGACTATTACTTGTAGCAGTGGGGGAGGGGGCACATTGTCTGGCAGCTTTCAAGCCTTTATTGATCTGGGTTTGCCTTGAGAAGATCCTGAAAAGGAAAGGAATGTACAGGTGGTTCTCAACTTACAACAGTTCATTTATTGAACTGTTCATTCAAAGTTTCAACATTACTGAAAAAAGTGGCTTACAACTATTTTTCACACTTACAACCATTTCAGGATCTCCTTGGTTACATGATCAAAATTTGGATGCTTGGCAACTGACTTATATTTATGATGGTTCCAGTGTCCTGAAGTCATGTGATCAACTTTTGTGACCTCCTGACGAGCAAAATCAATGGGGAAGTCAGATTCACGTAACAACCACGTTACTAAATTAACAGCTGCAGTGATTCACTTCACAACTGCGGCAAGAAGTTGTAAAATAGGACAAAATTCACTTAGTAAATGTTTTGCTTGGCAATAGAAATTTTGGGCTCTGTTGTGCTCGTAAGTTGAGGACTACCTATCAAATGAGGCTGCCAATGGGTCACTCCGGGAGGGCTCTTGTGCAGTACACAACGTTCATTCAGCAGCAGTAGGGAGACTCTGCATGCTCTCAAGGCCCTTATTAGAAATGGCTTCCACCTTGTAGCTGCCACAGTATTTGCAAAAGAGAAGAATCTGTCTGGAACAAGACAACCCCAGCATGGCTGCTCCCCTAAGGGCTTTCTCAGTTGCAGAAATGGAATATGATTATATTGGGAAGAGAAATGTTAACTAAGAATCAGAATAAGAGCTGGAAGGGACCTTGGTGGTCTTCTAGGCCAGCCCCCTGCTCAAGTAGCAAAGGCCTTATACCAGGGGTCAACAGCTGGCGGCTCTGGAGCCGCATGTGGCTCTTTCATCCCTCTGCTGCGACTCCCCCGTCACTCAAAATATGCATCACAACCACCAATGTACAATATCCACTGGCATGTGATTTATTGAGGTTTTCAATCTCCAGTAGGCCAACCATGGATAAATCCAAGAAAAGATTTTTTTAAAAACCCAGAATGTTTAATTCAACTACATATACTAGTTTTGTGGTTGCTCAGGAAATAGTCAGGCACTGGAAGAGTTTTGTGGCTCCTGGTGTTTTCTGTGGGAAACGAGTCGAAATGGCTCTTTGAGTGTTTAAGGTTGCCGACCCCTGCCATCTCAGACAAGTGATTGTCCAGTCTCTTCTTAAAAACCTCCAGTGATGGAGCAGCCACAATGACTGAAGGCAGTGAGCTTGAGTGCTCTTCCCCTTTCAGCTATCAGAGCTTTCCTCTGAAACGCCTTCCACGAAAGGTGGTCCCTATCCCAGGGCTGCCTGGAATGGAGGGAGATGTGGGGCAGGCAGATAGGCCCTATCCCGTGCCTTTGTTGTGGAGACATTGCTGAAAAGCAGGTGTGCCTGCTTTTAAAAAGGCAAGGAGTGAATGGAGCCTTTTACACAAAAATAGGATCAAAATCAATCCAAAGGGGCCCAAGCAGAATTATCCTGAAGGGAAAAGTGGTGAAATTCTTGCGCTCTGACTGTCTCTCCGTGCAGACTCGCCCTCAGTCAGCCTGCCGTATTTCTTTGCCCTATTTTGGTTGGGCTGGATCCCAAGAGATGCACAAGCCAAAGCAGCAAAAGATTTGTGCTTCTGTCATTCAGCTGAATGTGCCTTAGAGGGTTTGCCTGCATTCCTTGCTAGCCAGAACAACAGGCTTTGTTTCCAGAGTTCAAGCCTTCCTGTGTCTCTTTGCCTCCCACTTGCTGCCCAGACATGCATTATTGCCCTTATTTACTTAAGGTGCAACTTTCCCACACTTCTTTTTTTTTAATATATATATATAGTACTTCCAGCAGCAGAGCTGCCCTTCCTGATACCCCAGACTCAAATTATCTTCTTGGACTCAGGGAAACCAAACTATATGGTGTGTTTTTTTTTCCCACTGAGTTGGGATGAGTCATAGTCTGCTATGTTACAGATGCAGCCCGTTTAAAAATAAAACCCCAGCCAAAGCTGCTTTCAAGACCTAAAAACAAAAATGTATAGAACTTTCTCTCATTCTCATTAGATGTGGAGCCGGAAAAAAAAAAAAAGAAAAGGCCCCATCAAGATGAAATGGGCCCATTTTATAAGCCAGACTCTTATTTTTGAAGCATGTAATGGCTGGATGTACGTTAATGTGGAAAGGCCTAATAAATTCCTTTGCTAAAATTAGCCCGGCTTCAGTTTGGCTTGTCTTTTTGGAACTGAACTATCTAGATGGGCCTTGCCTAGCATTAAAAATAAAGTTAGACTATTGGAGGCTGTTTGTTTTTTTAAAAAAATGCTGCTTTGTGTGGAAGCAGTGTGTGTGCTGCAAGAGGCTTTTGGCACCTAACTACGGCGCTCTGTTCTGGAAGTCCCTCTTCCCCAATATCACGTTCTGCTTTCCAGCACTGGCTGCCAGTGATGGGGCCTGTAGTCCAGGATTTCAGGCAGCTTTTTGTGAGGGGCAGGAGAGAAGCTGCTATAAAGCTTTTGTTCCATACAAGGATTGAAATCTGTCTTTTGTCCTTCTGAGCCTTCTTTATTCAAAGGGGAACTTCCATTTCCTCTGCTCTGCTGCTCCCAGAGAAGATCCCACAGTAAGGACTTGAAATACCTGTTGTTTTCAATCTTTCAATGGCATCAAGGCATCTCTCTTTCTCAAAGCTGCTGCTGCTGCTGTCAAAAAAAGAGATAATAATTAGGGGGGGGAGTGGCTTTCCATTTGAGAGGTGTTTTTTTTTTCCAAGGAGAATTGAAGCATGATATTAGCATTAAGTGATTAGCTCCCCAGTCATATCCCTGTCATTTTTTTCCTCTCATCACAAGGCTTGTATGGCAGGGTATTGCTTTGAAGATCAAATGAAAACACTTGTTTTGGAAAGTTAGGTCCAATGAAGTTGAGTTGATTGCTTCTCCCCATATGTTGGGTGTAATGAAATGCCTTTTTTGTTCACTTACAATTTCACACTTGCAAATTTTTCATTCTTCACCTAAGATAGTACATTTTATTATTTTTTAAAATAATAAAATAAAAATTGGCAGTGCACAAGGGCGGAAACGCGGAGAAGGCTGGATATTTGGATAATAAACCATTTTCCCCAGATTTTGTTGTTACATCAACTTGCGTTCTAGTACGTGTTCGTTTGCTTGAAGTCCCTTTGAGCCAAAGTTTAAATAAAATAATCATAGAACTGGGGTCCTTTTACTGAGCTATGTCTGGGGCAGCTGTATCAAACACTTCCCCCCCACACACACATACACACACCATCCCTTTCGTGCTCTGTATGGAAGTATCAATTACTGAATGGAAATATTGCTTTAGGACTTCTGTTGCTATCTGTCTTAAAGTGGCTTCCTTCTCCTCATGTCAGCCTGGGACTCCTAGTAACTGCATAGTGCATACCCTCAAACAGCGGTACATCCATGAGGCCAAGTTGTGAGCAGAGGGAAACCTAGTTAGCTAGCTGCTTCATCCTGCTGGGCTGTTTGCCTTTCTGCTGAAATGTCCCTAACCCCTTGTATTCATGAGGGTCTTTGGATAATTGTTGCTCCTCCTGACTCATTCTTTTCCCTTTTCACCCTGATCCCTTTCTCTAATCCATTTGTCAAGGCCCAGAGATTGATCTCTTGTGTCCACCCACCCACTTCTCCCTCCTGCATTTGTGTGAGCTTCAGAATAGCATAGAGTCTTGTCTTCAATGGCTCCACACTGAGCCTCCCAGAACAGTTATTCTTTTGTACAAAGGCTGCCTTTAGAGACCTTGGTTAAAACTGTTTGTTTACAAGAAGCCACCAAATAAGTCTCAGAAAGAATGCAGCCTTTAAAAAAAAAACAGGAAAAGCGAAACTTGGACTTTCCAGCCGCTGGTCCTTTTATTTCCTTTCAGGATATAATTCCAAGCTCTCTTTCTTTGAAGGTGTCAGTATGGATGGCAAGGCCAGTACTGCGATAAGTGCATTCCACACCCAGGCTGTGTCCATGGCACTTGCAACGAACCGTGGCAATGTCTCTGTGAAACCAACTGGGGTGGCCAATTCTGCAATAAAGGTAGGCTGAATTTAGGAAGAGCTGTTTTGGAGGGGGGGGGGGCTGTTGAAATGCAGATCAATATCATGGAGGTTGGGATGGTAGGTAGAAAGTGCACTTTGGTGCACTGCTGTCTTTGCTTCCCTGTTCTGCTTACGAGCTGGCTGCCATCTGGTTGCTTTCTCTTGGAGGATAGCATGGCAGAGGACATGGAGCATCTGTTTTGAAACCTCTTATTCATTCTTTGGCTCCTCTTTATCCCTTGCAGATCTCAACTACTGTGGGACTCACCCGCCTTGTTTGAACGGAGGGACCTGTAGCAACACAGGCCCTGACAAATACCAGTGTTCCTGCCCTGAAGGCTATTCGGGACAAAACTGTGAAATTGGTAAGAAATTCTCCAGGGGGCTACTTTGTTGTATTTAAGCACAATGGCTGCATCCCTAGGGATGTCCTGGACAAAACGTGAGATGTGGGAAAAATGTAAAATTACATTTCAGTAGGGAAACAGTGGTTCTCCAGAACTTTGGACTGAAGCTTTCATCTGGCTTACCCAGCATGGCTAATGGCAAGGACAATGGGATCTGAAGTCCAAAAGAGCTGGAGAAATACCATACGGCTTCCAGTCTTGAGGAAGTCAGCCGCAACCATAGTTTTCATGCATTTATTAAAGGTTAATTCCCATTAACAAAAATGTTCTTGTTATAGACACATGCATGCACCAATTAATACACAAATAAAACACTAAAGTACTAATGTAGTACTAGTATAGTAGTAAAATACTAGCATAATACTGACACTGAAAATGTTACTTAGTTGGGTAATGAAATATCGGCAATAGGATTACTTGACATTTCTGGAGAAGACCGTTGCCTCGAGTGGATCATTTGGAAATGCTCACCAGTCACTATGCAGTTAAAATCCACTTA